GCTACTTGGAAGGCTGAGGCACGACAATCACTTGAAGCCAGGAGGCAGAGGTTGCAGTCAGCTGAGGTCATGCCATTGCACTCCAGTCTGGGCAACAAGAGTGAAACACCATCTAAAAAAAACAAAAAGAAAGGGGGGTGGTGAGAGTCGGCATCTTTATCTTGTTCCAGTTCTTGAAGGGAGTGCTTTAAACTTTCCCTGTTCATATTATGTTGGCTGTGGGTTTGTCATATATGGCTTTTATTACTTTGGCATACCCTTGTATGCCAATTTTGCTGAGGATTTTAATCACAAAGGGATGCTGGATTTTGTGAAATGCTTTTTCTGCATCTATTGAGATGATCATGTGATTTTTGTTTTTAATTGTGTTTATGTGGCGTATAACGTTTATTGACTTGTGTATGTTAAGCCATTCGCGCATCCCTGGTACGAAACCCACTTAATCATGGTGGATTATCTATGGCAGCAGTAATTTAGTAGTGGTTATTTTCTAATTTGCATTTAACTGGGTACTTTTAATTTATTAGAGCTAGATTCACTAACTTACCACTAGAGGTCTCCTCTTTCCCTTTAGAAAGTGTTCCCAAAGGCAACTGCTTGGACTCAAGTAGGAATAATCTGCAAAATCATTAGCAAAGTTGCAGTTGAGAATGTAAAAACCTACCAATTTTTGTTAACTCTATTGCCAAATATAAATTTAATTTTTATGTTTAAAACATTTTAAATCTAGTATCTTGTGTTTTTAGAGATTACAGCTGAAGTAAATTTGGCCTTTCGTTTAAGCTAAATTATAAGATGGGTCAAAATGAATCAAGCAAAGTAGTCAGTTTTCAAAGATCGCTCTAATTCACCTGCTTAATAACAGTTTAACTGGTTTTACCTTTCTCCATGGAAACATGTCAACCATTTAAGACTATTAATAAACAAATATTTATTAAACTTTTGCATTATGCTGAGAAAAATTGAAATGAATGAGATGCCATCCTTGCTCTTTCTTTTACTTTGCATACTCTGTTTTCGTTCTAACTGGATTTTTTTTTTTTTTTTTTT